TGCTGATGAAGAGAGCTGAATTTCAAGCAAGTGCTATGGGAAACTAGGGGACGAAGTTAGCATGGGAAATTATATCATTGTGTTTCGTGTTTCCATCGGAGGGGATGTCCTTCTGAGGTCGTTGACCGACCTGAGATGCTTGTAATCACCCCGTGATCGACCATTCTTGTTACAGGTGAGAGTGTTTTAGTTGTTGGTTTAATTTAAATTCTTTTGGTCTTGGGTTGTCGATAGAGGTCTGGTGATAGTCGTGGAGATTAATAGGTGCATGTTGTGTCCCTCCTTGAATCAATAGAGTTTGGATGAGAGATTGAGTGTTGAGTTCCTCCTCTTCAAACTCAAAAAACTGGGATGGGAAAAGAGGGTAGAGAGGTCAGCGGGAGAGAGGATAACATGTCGATAAGGGTATTTCAGTGAAAATAGATGCAAATTAATTTACAAAAGGGTAAAATAGATAATTGGGAAAAATTGATTCACCGCTTTAACATTTTTCGTTTTGATCATTAACCAAAGAGAAGTTTTTGTTGCATTCTTTAAAAATCTAGGGAAGGCTTTTGCTAAATTGAAACTGTAGGGGAGGTTTTTATGATTGTCAGAAATTTTAAGGGAATTTTTGAATTTTACCCTTAATTTTAAGAATGAAGGATGATGAAGGGAAATTTGGCCCAGCCTTGTAACAGGGAGACACGTGGATGTGACTTGGCATAAGTGACCTCAGCATGATCAGTTCGGTGCGTGGACGTTACTAGACACAAATGACAACCCAGCATGATCAGTTCGCTACAAAGCAACCTCGGGTACCTTGTTACCCCAAACTAGAGTTACTTCAAGCTAAGATCATCCCGAACTAAGATCACCTCAGTACCAAGTCCGCAATAGATCGAGCTCGAACAGCTGGGCCCACCTCGAAAAGCGTTCACCTCGGTTCAAGCCTACTTCGGTGCAAGATCATCTCAGTACTAAGGCACTTCGGCATTCAAAGTAGGTTGGGTCTGAAGAACCCGAGCTCAGGCAGCTCGCCACCAAATAGCCCAACACTTCACAGGCAACTTGCTACATAGTCAGGCCGAGCTCCGCGTGACAACATCGAGGATCTCACCACCGTACCCCACATCTTACAGGATCGTACCTTAACGGCTATATTAGCTCACCCATTCCTCGATCCAGGCGGAGATGGGCAACCTTACCGGTTTGTGGCATTATCCCCACCTACTACAAAAGCAGATCCCATCACAGCGAGGATCCAAGAACTGCTCCACCAAACCCGCAGGAACTCCAGTATATAAATACCTCACCCCCCAGGGGCGAAGGTATGATGTGTAATCTTTGCTCTCTAGCTCTCTAATTCTTTGATATCATCTTCAAGCTCTCTATTACGTGCTAACTTAGCCATCAGAGTGTCCCCACCAGGTAAGCCCCCCCGGGATCTCTGATTCATCTCTCGCAGGTTACTCAGTCCCCGTCGTTGCTAGCAGCCAGATCGTCTCCAGTAGGGAGCAGCCGGATTACGCCACATCAAAATCCAATTAAAAAATTTGATGTCAGACGGATATTGAAAATCTATATTTGAATTTGAATTCGATTAAATATTCAAATATTTGATTTGATTTAAATTTAATCAATTAATTATTTTAAGTAATTAATAAATATAAAAAATAAATATTTTATTGATAAAAAAAAGTATATAAATATATAAATTATTTATATAATTTAGTTATTATATAAAATACTTAAATATTATATATATTATATATAAAAATAAAATAATCTATTGAATTTGAATATTTATCGAATTGAATCAAATTATATCTAAATTCAATTCAATTATGTCGAATTTTGAATTCGAAATTGGATTTTCTAATACCATTGACACTCCCTTGTTATATTCCAAGAGTCTAATGCTTTTAGATTCCTCATTTTGTATATTAGATGAGGGAGATCAAGATTAGTATAAAATTTATAGCTAACAGCTTGTTAGGTAGATGGGTATTGGCAATGAATATATGAATATAGAGGTTTCAAATAATTTATACATTCACATATCTACAAAGAAGGAAATTAAGCTGAAAAGTGGTTAGCCAACTCAGGCCAAACAAGTAAACTAGGTAATTAATGAAAAGAAACTAAATTACATATCTACCAAAGAATAGATGATGATGATGAGCCACACTAATATTGTTATTATGGAGTCTTTTTTTTTATATTTGGTGCCACACACCACTAATAACCCCTTATATGTATATGCGGCACTCTACAAGTAGGCTTTCACAGTTACCGAGATAGTTATTGAAACCTAGGTCCAATTCCTTGAGATTGGTTGTATTTTAAAGAGCTGCATGACAAATAATCTATATGTTTGGTTCTTCTTCCTTGAGATTGGTTGTATTTGCACTCTGTCAGCAAATGCCTCATTAACTGCATTTCTATGTATTGAAATTTGCAAAAGTAAACTTTAGTTTCTATGTGCCTCTTTCGTTTCAGGAAGTTTCATTTTGGAGCTTCCTGAAACAGGTATGCATTTATTGGCATTTTGCGCCTATATGTCATAAACACCCTCATTAATTGCTTTTCTCGAATTTGCAGTCACACAAGTACAAACGTATATTGAATAAACATAAACGGAACCAAACACCCTAAATATATATAGGAAAGATAGAGTATTAATTAGAAATAGTTATATATGCATATATCGAATATGGATTATTAGAATTTTAATTTTATTGATATTATTTATTTATTTTTTTTAAGCAAAAGCCATTGGCTAATTCATTGAGAAGCATCTTTCAGGAGAACAGGTACAAGGAATTCTAGGGATATAGTCCAAGTGGAACTTATGGTCAAAGAACAAATCTTTTTTGCAATTAGAAGAGCAACCATATTACTTGTACGATGAACGAAGGAGATACAATGAAAAAGTAAAGCTCCGCAAAAATCTCTTGCATTCGGCTATTACATAATGTAACTTTTGTTGGTAAATTTTGATCATTAATATTAATAATTTAATATAATACTTAATATTGTGTAAGTCGAGGAATTAGAGAGATTATTGTCATGAAGGTATGTAAGCAGCTGTCATCACTTGGGTGGCATTTGATAATATTGTTCAGACCTATGAAGTCTGAAAATGTTGCTTTTTAGGCATCATAGGTGTTTGGGAAGTGTATTTGAATTTGGGTCCAAAAATTATTTTCAAATCTGAAATAATAAGACATGGATCAGGCGTTAAACACGTTCAAATGTGTTTCAGACTTGATCAAAAGTCCAAAATACCCTTAAACTCTCGTCTCTCGTCTCTCTCTCTTTCTCGTCTCTCGTCTCTCTCTCTCTCTCTCTCTCTCTCCTTTCTTATTCTTCTTCTTCTCCTGCCACTACAACTCCTTTGACAAACTAGCGGTGTCAAGTTCCGGCCTTCTCCCTCTCTCTCTCTCTCTCTCCTTTATTCTTCTTCTTCTCTCGCCATTGCAACAATGAAACTGAATAGTCTAATATAAAGTAAAATAGTAAAATTAGTGAATTTTAGATGTTGAAGGTTTGATTCAACACAAACAACTTTCTTTATTTAGAGCTTCTAAAAAGTCAAAAAATAATTATGTTTCTTTTCAGATTTCAAACACTTTTAATATTTTTTTTAACTTTTCAGATTTCAGACAATTTTAATATCTTTTTAACTTTTCAGATTTATCAAACGCCACATTAGATTGTTATCAGGCAGCCATAACCAAGAAAGACCAGTGGATCCATATAATGCTACAAACACATTAATACCACAAATTAATTAATTAATACAAGAGTGAGCAATCAACACTCAACAGAGCAGTATATAAATGGTAATCTCCTCGTTGTCATGATCATCAAACACAGACTTGTTGCCTTTGCTAATGTAATCCCCTTGGCTTATTCATTTTTTAACCTGTTAATAGTGAAGATGAGATATCACGCTTATTAAGCACTAGTGAATAGTGATAAAGAATAGAGAGATATAATGGAAATTGATTCTTTAATATTGTATAGGTTTACTTGCCTTTCCCTTTCTTTTTCCCACATTTTCTTTTAAAACAAACACAGAAAGAAACTACATGTCAAAGTGATAATTCGACACCCAATGCAGGATTTCTGATTCATCATTCACTCACTCATCATCATGTCTAGGTGATAGTGCTGATATCATCGCCAAATTCACCCTAGATGTTGAAGAAAATAATCGCTACAGATGTTGCCATTTCCAACAATCACAATCACCCATATCCAGATGATGAAAGAACAAAATCTCAGAACCAGAACTAATGTAATCCGTTCAATTAGGTTCGGTTGATCGAGTAAAACTGACCTATTGACGGCCCTAGCCCCAAATTCCCGGATGCTTGGCCAAGGATTATGGTATGATGCGATTACTATTTCAATCAAGTTTGGTAGCCCAAGCTGGCCCATTGGACGCAGGCAAGATCGGTTGTTCATCAATTCATTAACTGTATCTTGCCACCAACAATAATTTGATACATGTTTTCATACAAAATTATTTTGGCTTTTGCTTCAACCTAACGGGATATGGCCCATCCCATATACTTGGACTAATGGGCATTTGTCATAATTGTATAGGAAAGCAAACTCTTCCATCAGTAAAAGGAAAATCTTCTTCTCAACTTAGAAAATAATGAATCTTTTTTATTGAATAATTGGGTCTTCTGGGGTGCTTAAACTTTTCCCATCTTTTCCATAGTCTTTTAAGTCATCGAATTTTTTCCATACCGTTTCTCCACAGCCCTAAATCCTTCCTGTAAAGGACAAAAGAAAAAATTGTCTCCTGTCTGTGGAATCTCTACTTTTAGTCCCATTAACTTGGGTGAATAAAGGCAAAGAGTGGATAGTCAAGGGCCTTCTCCCTTCATTTACTAGAATTCCAAGCCAAGCAATAAGATTAAATCCACTGAAAAGGAGGAAACAAGAACTAGTGTGCGATGATTGTTTGGAAATCAAAAACAGATAGAAATTTTAAGAGGGTGGGCAGTGAAATAATTTTCCCTTCCCTGAGTCAAACTAACATGAACAACTACTTTAATTTAACAATATATATTTTACTTCCACCATCCACCACTCCCCACAAAGAAAACAATATTCTCCTATCCTAATCATAAGTCATGATCATACTCCATTTCCTTTCGGCTACCACTAACGTACATGCTCATCCCAAAGCTAGAAACTCTACCACATTGATTCCTCATCAAGTTCTTATTAACCCTGGTTTTTTCTGCATTTTGAGCAAGAGACAAAGAGAAGAAAGAAAACCCAACTTTCTCTAAGAAACTAATACATTCCCTCCATGACTTAGCTCATGCTTCCAACACATTTTTTTTTTCTAGTCAAGAGGCTCCGAAAGCGGAGCTGGTTTACATGAACATGTGGCAAATCTGGTAAACCCCACATACATGTAGTTTAACATCATCGTCGATCGGCGGTTGGCAGCAGTCGCAGGGAAAGACAGATGCTCCACATGCTTTATTCAGTGGCAACCTTCCCCTTTCATAGGCCTAGCAATATGTAGTAGAGGAGGGTGACAGGCAAGGAAACTAACATGCCAAAGATGACCCTGCAACAATGAAGGAGACAATGCTGAGTTGAAGATGAAGAACAAGAAAAGGAGCTAGTGTGTGATGATTGCTGAATGTAGAATCATGTTCAATGACTCTCTATTTGCTAAAGTGGCATTTCTTTTGTGGGGGATGGGAGGATTTAAAAGCCATTCATGATGTGGAGCCACATAGCTAGATGTTAGAATGCAATCAATACAAAACTCCTACCCACATTTTTAAGGACAAGGCTACACTCATTATTGCTGTCCAGCGAAAAAAACAAGAAAAAACTCTAATCACCAGTTTTATGTGCTCATCAAATCCTAAGGCAAGCTATACTTGGAAATGGGATCTAAAATATGGAGTAAGCTGCTCTTGATTGTGTTTCCATATAATTAAACAGAAATTCTGACCTTTAGGTTTTTGTCTGTGAAAACCCAAAAAAAACCCGTCAACTAAATGACTGTAGCTCTGTGGAGAGAGAGAGAGAAAGAGAGGTTTTTTTGTTGTTGGGGAGTATGGGGGAGGGCTGGGGTTGGAGGGTTATCATGCAAAGAGACAAAAATATTCATGTAGCCTCCAGGCACACAAGAATTCTAGTGGGATCCAATGGAATAAAGGGCCGAATGACAGCCAACAACTTTGTCTTTTTTCAGAGGATATAGAAGAGGCAGAGGAAATTATACTACCACTTCCCTCCCTCGTTATAAAGGTGTTGACTTCTCACTGACTCAAAGTTCAGAAAGACATAAAGTGAAAACTGCCTCCTCATGAGAAATAGCTAACGAATTTCAACAACAAAGATAATTTAAACAAGCAAAGGCGCTTTTGAAATTTCTGTCAAAAAGAAAACTCATGGCATGCAGATGCAGTAGGGAGACAACTATGTAACAATGCACACACACACATATGATATAGTGGTAAACTTGCCGAGTACAGAACATAAAAAGCAGTAAATGAAATGTGAAACCCATACCCTGTGCTAAGTATGTCAGGGTGCAGTCCATATTCCCTAGCAAAGACGAATGGTACAATTCCTTGTGGAAGAGCAGCCTGTGAGATTCATAGTAAATCAACAATTTGAAACATTTAAAACCCTAACATAACAACCTTGAATGTGCTTCTTTTTTGTTATTATGTTTAAAACATATATAATACCGATTCGTGGATGTATGTAGATGCTCTTGTACCTGTACAATGGCGGTATGTAACCGAACTCCTCTTAATCCAACCGCGAGAGATGCTGCTGACATTACTGTAGGTCCGGTGATAAAACGAATCACCATACCTAGTGTTGCCATTTTCATTCCACAGGCTATGATCCTGGGCTGAAGAGCCATGAACAGCCCTGTTGATTGTTCATTGTGGTCATTAGGAAGTTAATTTTTAGAAAAGATAGAATAAAAAATGAAGTCAATGATAACTCCAATAGATGGTAAAATGACAAGAGACAGGGCTAGACAATTTATTTGTTGCAAGTTGCGAGGACTATATACAAGAGACAGGGGTAGACGGAAATGGACACTAGTTGAAATAACAGAAAATGATTTAAGCATTCATAAATTAACAATGGATATGACAATAAATGGAACATTATGGCAAAATAACCCCATATAGTTGGGATAAGGCTTAGATGATAATACTGATGTATTTGTGTGATTGGTGAAGGAACTTAGGTTTGATTGCCAAAAAAATTTAAGAAAAAGAAGAAGATAGCTTGTATATACCTAGACTGAACATGGCCATCCCAAGTCCTGCATCCGAAATTATCTTTATTGAATGTTTCACCAAACTAGGCATGCCAACACCCCACCTGCTCAGTTCACAAAACCCTGTTACAATTTTAATTCCATTTCAATTGATTATTTCCATCCCCATACCCTACTAGCTAGGTCAGTGGCCGGGTGACAACCTCACCCAAGTCTAGTTATGTGGTAGAACCGGATATACAGCTGACTAGTTAGACCAACCAAATTGATAATTAATTTTAATCCGGTCCAAGCCTGATTCATTCTAACACTACTTCCCTGCCCCACGCAATAAAAAAAAAAAAAAAAAAAATCAAGTGACCATCATAGTCTTATTAGTAGCTAGGAACTTACTTGAATGAAATTAGAGACCAGAGGAGGCCTAATACGCTGGAGTAAGCGTTAGGATTGCGAGATAGTTTTCGACCAACCATGATAAGTATGAGTCTCAACATCACAAGGGTGCGCGGCATTTCCTGATTCCCGGCCGCTGCGGGCTTCGATTCTGTTTCCTCATTTTCTGTAATTTTTGTGTCATTTCTGAAGCTAAGATCTTTCTCTGCACAATAAAATAAGACTAAAAAGTGAGATTTAATGCAATTCTAAATATTTAACTTTTCTAAATGCTGTTACTGTTATTAACTTATTATTATTATTATTATACACGTGGCAATATGTATTGGGTAAAAGTTTTGAGCTCCGAAAAAATTTGCCACGTGTAAGAATCTTGGTTCGTTCAAAGAAGCTCACTAACGACCCACTTAGCAAACCTAATAATAAGTTAAACGACTGGGTTGATACTGATTAGTGTGTCACCTCAGTCATTCATATAGGAGGCAAAAAAAGTACAAATCTGAAAAGCTGAGTAGGTTCCTGGCCTGAATTGTTTATATTCTCTTTCTTCTTTAACTTATGCTCTCTCTTGACAAAAACAAGGCCCTGGAAGCTACGACAGCGAGACATACGACAGAGCAGAGCTGCCTATTCTACCACGTACCTCCGAGTCCAACATCTTTGCACCCTTGTTTGTCCCCCCCAGCTTGACCCTTCCCCGGTGACTCCCACACCATCTTCACGCCGGAGAATGCTGGTGACGTCTGCCGGAAAACCCTCCCACCTGCCGGAGATCTGATCCACGTCGGTGTATTTGATGTTGTCACCGTCGTTGTATCCAATTCATTAAAATTTGATGCGCGTGGCGTTGGCTGGAGGGAGTAGGCGTCGGATGATGCATACCCGGATAGCCGGGGGCTGGCTGCCGACCGGTAGCCGAATGCCAAATCGGCATTGCAGAAACCTATATCTGTGTTCCCGTGGTTGAACTCGCGAGGTGGGGCTGGAGTGTTTACTGAATAGATTTCGGCTCCTGATAGGTTTGATGCACGTGGGGTAATTCCAATGGAGGATGATAATGCTGAATCCGGGGCGGACGACGTAGACCGTCGGATACGAACTCGAATGCGGCCGTTGCCGTCAACTTCCGACTCGGTACGTAGTGGGTCCCGGCCGTCGAGGGAAATTACATCACCGTCGATCTCGAATTTTTCTATGGAAGCAGCTGCGGAGCCCGGGAACTGGTCCTGGATTAGTAGGGTTGCAGCTCTATATTCAAACAAGAACAGTAGAAGCGTATACCTGCATCATAACCCATATCCAGATTAAGCTTTTATATAGACCCAATAACAAAACATTCATTATTCTTGTCTAATCTTTCTCTTCCTTCACTACTTTTTACCATCTTTTCACAGCACAGACACAAACACAGAGAGAGAGAGAGAGAGAGAGTTGCGGTGTGACTGAAGAAAGAGAACCCAGAAAGAAAACCAAATCAAATAAAGAAATGGTGTAGCACAGAACTGGGTTATGGAGTAAGATAATATCAGTACCAGATTATACATTGTAAAACGACCAGTTGCACCATGAGGCTCTGAGTGAAGTCTCCATACATGGACTTGAGCAATGGAATGCCCATGACTAGTGTGTTTGGCAGTGTTGCAACAGAGAAGAGAGTAATTAACCAATCTAGTCCTCCATGGAAGATCATGGCCCAGAGGGAGAGCAAAACAAGCACCAAGATCTTAGAAACAGTATCAGCCAGTATGAACTTGGTGTCCATCTGGTATGGGTTGTTCTGAGATATGAAGTGGAATGACAACACAGGAACAGCAAACACAGCAACGAACCGATTGATGCCGGAGCATTGCTCCGGCGTAAATATCTTCCACCATTTCACCGAACCATACGCCACCAACATGGCAAAGTAGAGTGGAACCATCGCGCACATAACCTTGTAGAAGTCATCTGCACTTATCATCCTTCTCTCTCTCTTTCTCTCTCAACTCCGAAGGCCTGCGGGCTAACCAACGGATGAAATTAATAATAGTGGAGGAAGAACAGGGAAGCTAAAAGCATATATATATAGGATCTTGTTTACGAAAATGCCCCCTTGAAAAATGTCATTCACAGAGAAGTCCCTTGATTTGCAGAAATTATGGGAAAATAGGAAATCATCAGATTCATGGGAGAAAATTGAGAAGTTCCCTAGACAGGTCACCTATCTAGATTAACAAATTACCAATTGGGCCTAGTGGGCCGATTGAAATGATGCCTTTTGAAGAAGGATGCATCCTAAAGCAATAGAAGTTTTGCCTCAATATAATTTTCCACGTGTCATCCAATAAGAACGGATTTGATTACTAATGGCTTTTAGGATTATTCAATTTTATTTGACTGTTCGTGTTTGGCTCCCTACTCATTAGAACATGGGGATTTGCTTTTTACAAGTCAAAGGGGGCTTGATTGCGGCTTAAAGTGGGAAATAGAACAAGGAGATGAAAACAGGGATTAAATTGGGCCCACATGTCTGTTATATAACTTAAAAAGGAGGAATAGGAATAGGAACTCGATGTAACTGAATGGCCAGAAGCCCACTTTCTAGTATGTGGGCTAAGGCCCAATTAATGAAAACCAACAATGGGTTATGGGTATCAGTTAAAAGTTAAAACTAGGTTTGAATTTGATGCATAATCAATGTCTGGGGTACACAGACATCCCTACACGAAGGGCTGGGGCCCATTCCAATGGCATCCACATAGGATGATTCAGTCTCACACATGACACACCCAAAAGCAGATGGATCAGATGATGATTGCAACCATTCGATCAGATTGTGTTGTTTGTTAGAGTGTGAGAAGGGATTGTGAATCTCGAAAAGCAATGACTAGATCCAAGGGTAATGATCAACCAAGTGGTCCCACCCTCGTGCATTTGGGTGGTCGTACCTGGGCCACATGTTCCCCTACTGTGACACAGTGGTAGAAAAGGAGAAAATGCAGGGTAACTTTCTTGTAAATAAAGTAAAAGATGACGTATGGACATTCCTTGCTTTTCAACTTGATAGATAGGGTATAAATGCAGGTTAAATTCTCAGGCAAAGGTGAATTGGCCATGGCCTTCTACCATCATCTCATCTGACATCAACCCCTTGGACTCTCCTCTCTCCACCTCCAAATTTACCTTATTCAGTGGTTCTCTGCGTCTGGAATCTGCTTAACGGTTGGGTCCCCATTTGTAAAGAAGCTTGGTTGATTTCTCAAAAAGAAAAAAAAATCTTTTTTTTATCGCATAAGTAGCATTTTGTTTTCAAAAAATATCCTTAATTTACTAATTTTATTAAAAATGAAGGATGAAGACTCTGTTTGGTTATACTTAGATTAAGGGAGATTAAAGATTTCTACCAAAAAAAAAAAAAATTAATGCTATTTACCATATTGTTTGTAAAAAATAGATGTCTTCCAATATGAAAGATAACATTGCATAAAAATACTATTCTTTATATCTGTGCGCACAAATGCTATACACATATTATAGATAAGACACTACAGCCATACATCCAGAACATCTCTCCTACTTGTATACTGTCTATAGCATATATATACAGCATTTTGCATGCAATTACAATCCTCCAACACTCATATATTTCTCAATAGCATTTTAGTAACTTTTTTTTGATGGATAAATAAAATTGCAATATTAAAGCATAAGAGATGAACAATCATGAGCTACAACTCAATTTAAGTTTTTGAGCTACAAAATGGAAGGCTGTATTACCTACTCTAAATATAAATACAAAATCCTACATGTTTTTTTGGATAATAATAAAATAAGAAAGACATACAAAAACAACCCCTAAATGGCAAGGTTTTCCTCTTGAGTGATGAGTCTAATCCCTCCTTCAGCGAACCCCTTGCTTCCTCTTATCGGGGAGTCCCCTCCCTCCCTTCCTCTTTTCACTCTCATCTGCTTCTTTATTCTGCCCCCTCCCCTTTTTTCAATCTTCTTTTCATCTCTTTGCTTTTCCTCCTTTCCTTTATTCATCTTCTTTTGATATAGGTGAATCTCTTTATCTGGGTTTTTTTTTGGGGCAATTGTTGAGTCTCTTTGTCACTGCCACATATTTTGAGTTTTTTCAACTATGGTTTGTTTTTACTGATGATCGGGTTTCTCCGTCTATCTATATATCCTATTGACAAATTGGTCATAGTTGTGTGTTAATGGCAGTCCAATTATCACTTGAGCCGAGTTGGAGTATTTAGCAAATTAACCCGGAATAACTCGGCTTACTTACACCCCTAACCGTATTCCTCTTGTATATATGCTGATTGTAGAAGGCTAGAAGCTTTATATTGTTATCTCTACTATTGCCAGTTTTATTGTTTCTATGAATTTGTACTGATCTCTTTGCTTGATATTTTTCTTGCCACTTTTGTATTTATACATGTTCTTGGTTAAATGAAACTTTTCTTTTGGGCCTCAAACTGACAAATACCCCCAAAATAATATATTACTATTAATGCAATAAATACCCCCTAAAATTTTCTTTAAGCAGCTAACATATGTATCATCTACTTTTTTTGTCACTAGGAAAGGTTTTCTTCTTGCTAGAAGATCGTTAAGATCATTGAAAATAATAGAATGGAGGAATTATAATTTACAAATGACAAACCACAGCTGAACTTTTAACATTCTTAATTGTAAGTTCATCTTGTTAAACGTGAAAATATACTGTATAAAACATGAAACAATGAAAAACAAGTAAATCATGTGACATCTTTAAGTATTGATTTAATATAAAACAAAATATTAGTGAATGCATAATAGTTGAATTCTTTATAAATAATCAAAACAATAAATAAGAATGTTGCATGTAAAATCAATCTTAAACAGTTACACCCATCAAAGGGATAATTCTCCATTCATGAACCACTGCACCTATATTTTTGGATTCAATGGTTTCAGTGAAATTCCATAGATAGTGCTTTGACCAAATATAAAACTACTTGGAATGGTTTTGAATTGTGATGTTTCTATTTTTTAGGATATCCTCTACATTAGCTGCATGTAGGGGTGTAAATGGATCAAACTCGAATCAGATCAAGTAATATCCGAATTCGAATTCGATTAAAAAAACCTGATATCCGAATTTAATTCGATATCCGATGGATACTGAAAATTAACATCCGAATTCAAACCCAACTCAATTCGAATTCGATTAATTAATTATTTTAGATAATTAATAAATATTTTATTGATAAAAAGTATATACATATATAAATTATTTATATAACTTAATTATTATATATAAATTATATAAAATATTTTATATTATATATAAGAATTAAATATTCGGTCGAATTCGAACATTTATCGAATCGAATCAGGTCATATCCGAATTTGAATCCGATTAACTATTCGGTAAGAATAGGATATCCAAATTCAACCGATTAGATATACGAATTATCCGAATTCGATTCGATTATATTGAATATCGAATTCGAAATCGGATTTTTGAATACCGTTGACACCCCTAACTGCATATTTGCATTATTGCAAGCATTTTATATGAATTATGTGTTGTTGGAAGAGAAATGCTTCATCAATTTAACAAGTTAACAAATATATCAATTTGGGCCATGCTCGATCCACTTTTAGAATTTCCTTGTTGAAATACAAGGAAAGATTTTTTTTTTCTACTGTTACAATGAGAATCCAAAGTTGTATGAAGTATTCAATAGAAAGATAAAAAAATGGGAAGAAATTGATTTCATGATAAGGATCATTCAGCAATTTCCCAATTTGAGTAACTTGTAAATTAATACATCCTCCTGACATTGAATTAAATTCCAAGGCTTTAGTATCAGATGTAAATTTTGAAAAAAAAAATAACAAAAGAATTTGAAAGCAAATTTCAAGTTGTAAATACTTATTTTATGAGCAACAGTAATTTATATGCCTGGTCATAACTCATAACAAACCCTAGAATGGCTCAAGCTAGTTAGAGAATCCAAAGATTGTTTGTATACTTATGAACCTTTTTAAAATGCAGTTCGAATCACCTGCCAATTCCAAACTTTTATTAACATAATCTCACACCGTACATCTCATATATGACAGGTCCCATTTTGTCCCGGTCTCATGGTGAGACCTAAGGTCTGAATTATTTTCTGGTTTGGTAAAGGAGGCCTGAACTTTGATGCAATGAAATAAAGTCACGTGTTCCAAAATTCATATTTCTTGCTTAGTTGGTGAGATCACATCTGCTGTAACCGTGGTCACAGCACTCCCTTTGGATCTTCCAATGAAATATAAGCAGGTCAGCACCTGAGCTTTTTTTAATTTCCATAGCTGATATGTCCATGTTTCATTGGAGGGTGTATGGTAGTACTGTGACTGTGGTCGCAGCTCATGTCTTTTCGATTTCGTTTCCAATACGTTCATGCTGTCATTTCTGAGGATTTTTTGTGTACTAATAACCTTCATTCTTATAATGTAAGGACAAATAATTTTCTATCATAGAGATTTTATTTGTAAAGTTTTAAAGAGAGATCTTTCCTTTATGTTGCATTGTACTAATTTCCACTGCTCAATGTGATAGTTTAGAAAATTCTTCAAACTTCAAGGGATTTTTGAACTGCAATCCCCCTCAAAATTTATCTTCAAACCCCGTAAATCGCATTCTGCCTGTGAATTTATCTTCAATCCACGGTCAGAAATAGCCCACCCCTAGAGTGGAGCTCTAGATTTGTAAGAGTGGACTAGTCCAAAAAGAAATGTCACTATTTTCACCTATTTAAGATATCAAATACCAATAAGCTAAGCTAGAGAAATAGACTTCAGCGCGTCATGCATACCTCAAACTTATGGTGGACTCTTTTGTTTTTTTCCTGCTATCATACATTAAGGCTGTGTTTGGTTGCAATGCAAATAAATTTGCACCGATACAAATCCGACAATACAAATGTTTTAAGTGTAAATTTTGATCTATTTTTGTTTCAAATTTTATTTTATTTTATTCTATTTGACTGTAATATAAA